TAAGAAACGGGTACCCTATCAGGTATATTTTACTTCACATGCCCCCACTTGCCATCCCTAATGGACGTCCATGACTACAAATACCGTATACGTAAATAATAAATTCAAGTACTTTTGAGGTTTGTCACACGTGAATCTTGGCTTAACAGTCAAAATAACGTTGATTAACGTTTACGCATCCTGTATTTCTGATTGCCAAAACTCTCTTTACACTAAAAAAATTCTCCTCTTCCTCTGTCTTCTATCCTGTTATTATTTCTTTTCCACTTCGTCCTTCCCTTTCTTTCCTCAACGTTGTGTCAAAATAATGAATACAAAAGCAGAGGTCCTGTCAACGAATTCAAATCGATGTTTAGTATTCGTGCACCCTTTTGATAAGCTTGTAGGGTATCGATGCGCACCAAAGCGACAAACCAATCCATCAGCACACATGCTTTTCTCTGGAAAGGATATTCAAATAGCCAACGGTGCTGGGCATACTCACGTACAGCAGGGCTGAAATTCTATCTGCTTTGCGATGGGAATCGCTCAGTTATTGTTAATAAACACAGCTAAAATAGACGAGGCAAATAAACGTGATTAAATGTTCTACAGCACATGAATAATTTTGCTCAATTCGTGATTTTGGAAGGTGAAACATACGAAAAATAGTCTTCATCAAACAGCAGTAATGGCGGAATACCAATATAAATAGCGGGACACCTTGCTTGAACTCTACCGAACTCAGTTTTTCTAAATAGTTGTGATTCGAGCAGATTCTTGGCTAAAAGCAAATACCTAGTTGAACATAATATGGAAACTTTTCTTATATCATATTCTAATAAAAATATTTGGAAGTGGTTTAATTTAATATTCATCCAAGCTGGAATTTCACCATAGGGTTGTTGGGCTTGCTGAATACAATCCCATGGCATGAAAATGAGAAAGCATAACATTACTATTTTTAATGCGAAAGTAACGATCTTTCCTAAGAGCTTTTAGATACAAAATGAAAGTAGATATGGCTCCAAGCATTGATTAACGTATTCCAGCAAATGTCTATCCAAAAATTTGGTTTGTCTCGAACATTTTGCATTTTTCGGTTTTGTGTAAAGTATTAACTTTTGTTTATAAGCCTTAGATTGGGACTGTGCACTCAAAGAAACCAAAAGTGGAATGAAACAAAGTTCTTCAGAGGTCCTTCCATATCCGATGCTGGATGTAGACTGACGATTTCTCTTGCGCAGGTTGTATTTATACCGGAGGGTAGGAGACGTGGCTTGTTCCGCTTCGGTTGACTTCAGGATGTCGATCGGTACTGCTCGGGCACTTTCCGAAATGTGCGCTTAATTCGACTGGTCCGTATACTCAAAATTGTTTTAGAGGGGAGGAGGAATTGAAGAGCGGGGGAGTGGGAAAGCAAATTCCCTTGTGACATTTTAAGGGTGGGGATTGGGATACGTCTAGAGAGTGCACCTCTCTCGATTTAGGCTTTGCAAGGTAATTTTTATTCCAACGCACAGCAATATAAATATATCGTTTTCTTGGAATGAAATGCCAGACTAGTCCGCCATTGTCCCACGGACCGCTCTGGAAACCAACACTGACCACTTTTCGCAATTTGCGTTCAATTCAGCTTGTCTATTCCCTCAAAAATGTACCTACCATAGAAGGACTACAAACCAACGTCACAACGTGCTATCACCTTATTCGTATGCCCTAAATTGTTGAAACGGCCTGACGTATTATCATAGGATTAGATCCAGCTGGTCCCGGATTTGATCAAGGACTCATAGAAGGAACCTACCTGAACGCTGATGACGCAGAATTTGTGGACATCATTCACACATGCGCTGGATTTCTCGGCTCAAACCAGAAGCTTGGACATGTGGATTTCTTTCCAAATGGAGGAGGACCACCTCAACCTGGATGTTCTATTCTCAAGGTGGGTAATATTTCTGCTTTAAACCAATTTGATTTATTTTCGGAAATTCCGGCGGCACAACCCCGGAATGTCGATAGCTCAATACACTCACAAATTCACAGAATTTCTTCTTCGTGTCCGATATTTCACAGGAATATTCATTAGGTGTTTTTAAGACTAATATACTAGACTAATAACATAACTAATACAAATGCATTCTGGAATATTGTACTCATTTTATATCTTACATACCTCTTGTAATAGTCCGGAAAAAATTCTGATTCGGATTGTTTGCATAATCTTATCCAGATAGGGCCCGATTTAACGGATTTTCATCAATGACATTCTCTTCAACTTTTGTAACCAAAATATCGTTGATCATCAGAGGGTAGTGTTCGCCACTGACTGAAAGTGCATATCGTTGACTGCTGCATTTCCCTATCTTCGAAGGGGTGTGGATTTTCTGATCCCCCATGCGGCAGTTTTGTTTATTGACATAGCCTCCGACGTGAAACTGAGGTTCATCTAAAAGATGATACATCGGTTAAAATGCCAAGCGATTTTTATCCCACATGACGAACCGAAAAAGCATCAGATGGCTTGAATTCTTGGGATAGTTGAACTGTTTAAGCCTTCATACCGGAGTCCTTACGCAAAATTCTTCTTAGAGAAGTGCAAAAATGTTAAATTCCTGAAAACGATGTCGTTGATGCTGCTGGATTTCCACGCACTTTCAGCGCTTTGACCCATGATTAGACTGCAGGTGGTGGTAAACAGCATTAACGTTGCTGTTAATCCTGCAGATGTTCGTGAAACAAATTTTATCATCGGTGTTGTTCCCTCGAGTTCGCCTCCCACCCGGACATTCTGAGAATGGAGTAAGTTTACATCCCGAATTCTTAGTACTTGAAGGATCCATCATCATTAATTTCTTTATTGGGGATGATGACCGACTGCGTAGGTGTATAAACATGCGGACATTCTTAAGACACCCTGGAAAAAGCTAGCGGGTAGCACCGCCTCGGTCGACTGGTTCTTGCCTACCACCTTCTTTTTGCTTGTTAGTGAAGTAAAATGGAACTAAGTGGCTCACTGGCGGACTTATATCGCCAACGGGCAATTGGTACTGAGGTATTCCTTAACGCGTGTAAAATCACTCGAACGGGAAGAAGTTGTATATATGAGGACAAAAACTTCCGTAACAAGCATTTGCCACGACCTCGCTCAGTTGGGGTAAAAAGTAAAAAGTGATCCAGTCTCACTAATTCGTTTCACGAACTGGCCCACCAACTGAATTGATATAGTCCGTCTCATATGCCAAATTCCTTACAGCTTGGGTTAAAGACTCACCGCTTTGTAAGGAATCTTTTAATATTCCCAATTTTATTCAACCGTGTAGTGTCCCATTTCGAAAATGTCAAACATATAGCTGTCCTTACTGTTTGTCATTTGTTTGTCAGGGCGGTCCGTCACTTTCTAATGTACGTTAGTCGAATCTGTCAGTCCTGGTTGCATAGACACCAGATAACAGAAAGGGAAAGAGAAGAAGAAAGGAGACGAGCAAACCGAAGTGTTTAGTTTGAACAGGCTTTTTGACTTGGTTAACGGATTCATTATGAGGTGAACTGAACAAATTTTGATTCAGGTTTTGTTAGAGTGTAACTTTGGGTTTACTTAAAGTTTGCGCTAGTTTTTTATTACAGTGCGAGCCGTGGCCTTAAATGTTTACGAACTTGCTCCACTGTATAGTCCACTGAATCAAGTAACAGAAGGTTGCTGAGCGATTTCGCTTGACTATAACGTTGCTGCGCCTGAAGCTTAGCATAATCCCTCGAGTAAGAAATGTCAAGGTCTCTGTGTAGTGTCTCATTTGAGACATACCATGGAGCGTTACAAATTGTTCGCAGAGTTCTGCTTTGCAGTACTTGAAGACTTTGCTTGTGTGTCTTGGCAAGAAAACACCAAGCCGCACATGCATAAGTAATGGGTGGTGCATATAGCTTTTAGTTTCTGTAACGTCAAAATGACACTTACGCATTGGATAACAACATAAACTGTAGTTCAAATTTCAAATACTAGGTGGTCTACATGGGCGCCCATTGTGGGAAAGGCAAGGGGGCATATGCCCTTCCTGGATTCTGCTTTAAAGTGTCTTAATAAGATACCCAATCTTTGGGTAAAAAGTGGCGCGTGTGAGAACATCCCAACATGGAAGCTGTTAGTTTTGCTACCATTTAGAATAGTTGCAACCTCGCCCCGTCTTCAATCGTCACCAACGAGTTGGCTAGTTCTCAACATTTTTGATCCTGCATAACCTGTAAGCCAAACGTCCTCCTCACCTGGATTTTGCTATATGGGCGGTCATGGTGGTCCAACATGTATATGTATTAACTTTTTATCTCAAAAACACTTAAGCAATCATCCTGTGAACTATTGGACACTTCTTGAGAAACGTCCTGTAGGAGCAGTACCTAGCCAGTGCTACCAAGGGTGCGCTTCCCAGTTTGAAAACCAATGCCATATACTCGTACATAATGATGTATGTATGTCATGCTCGAGCTGTGTAATTTTTGCGCTAACTTTGTATATTGTCCGATTGTAGTTTTTGGAAACCTGTAGTCATGGAAGAAGCTGGAAACTGTTCGCTGAAAGTATCAAGCTGGACGAAGCATACTTAGCAAGCCGGTGTGAAAATTGGGACACACTGAAAGACAAGAAATGTGGAGGGAAGATAGTACCTATGGGAGAACCAACCCCCACTGACGTTAGAGGAATTTATTACTTGGAGACTAGCGATACAAAACCTTATGTGTTGAATGAAAATAAAATAGATTAATAAAATGGCTATTTATTCAACTGCAGTTATTATTTGTTCATAAAAACTTGTAATGATATTGTAATGTTGTCAATGAGCAATGCAGGCTCAGATTATACCAGATATTAGATATTTATATTTCGGGATGTATCGAAGGTATCTGCTTTGTTTATATTATATCAAGTCCTCAAGTGGCTGGAGAGTGAGGCCGCCGCGCTATCTTCAATGATTTGAATTATTCGCATATTTTTCGGTTTGTCTCAAATTGCTTTTCAAATGACTTTATTGTTTTTCAAAGTATTCTCCACGAAGATTAATACACATCTGCATGCGCTCGAACCAATTTCCGAAGCACTTATTCCACTCGTTTGCTGGCAGATCGAAAACGGCATTTTTCAATGCGTCAACTGCTTCTTCTGGCGACTGGAACCTTTGACCACGCAGTTTGTTTTTAATTTTCTGGAAAGTAAAGAAATCGTTAGGACTTAGATCGGGACTATATGGAGGATGGTCCAATAATTCCACGTTTTCTTCCATTAAATACTGCCTTGTTTTTTGGGCTGTGTGTGAGCTTGCATTGTCTTGGTGGAGGATGATTCTTCTTTCGGGGTTGATTTTTCGAAGCTCGGTGATGACTTTTGGCAAACAAATGGTGGTATACCAATCCACAGTAATAGTTCTTTGCTCATTAAGAGGAATTGTTGCAATATGACCCGCTTTTGACACAAATGTCGCGACCATCTTTTTCGAAACACTTCAAGAACGGATGACTTTTGTTGGCTTTTCTTCACCTTGGAACACCCAAACAGCCGACTGTCGTTTATTTTCTGGTTCATAACAGTAAATCCACGATTCATCACAACTAACAATGCTGTACACATTTTTGAGTTTCCGGAATTGGAACGGTCAAGCGTTTTTTGACACCAATTAACCCTGGCTGCTTTCTGCTCTTCAGTCAACAGGTGGGGTATCCAACGAGAAACTAATTTTCTAACTCCTAATTCTTCATGTAAAATTTTTTGAATTGAGGTCTTTGAGATCTTCAAGGACGCCTCAAACTCGCGATATGTTACATGTCTATCTTCAATGATGAGTTTTCCTGGGTGACTGCCGTTTTTGGTGCACCCACCCTGGGATCGTCGCTACGACTCACCCGTCCACGTTTGAATTCTCCATACCAACGGGAAATTGCCGACTGATGTGGCGCTTCGTTGCCGAAAACAGACAGTACCTGAGCAAGGCATTCTTGTTGCGATAATTGTCTCTGAAAGTTGTAATAAATTATGGCGCGAAAATGTTCGCGGTTGAGTTCCATTTTTCTAATGATTTGGTGACACTTGAAAATTCACTGTAGCGAGAACACTTGTTAAGTTTACTTAAGAGTGAGTGAGTTAAGATTCAGTACTGACGTGCGGTCTGCGCGGCCTATTATGTTTCTATATGCAAAACTTAAAAGACATCCCTCGTACATTCAGAGGATTGGTCTTATATATATATATATATATATAGTCATCGAAAATTACACATAACCAAACGTTCACAATTTGCTGGGTTATCCAAATCGTTTAGTAAGGAAATGTGTGCTAAATGTGCTGATCCATAGGGAACAGTCGCATAAGTCGACTACTATTCAATGTATATTAAAACGATGTATTCCAAATTGATTGATTGTCAGCAGAATAACCATTTCCTCCTTACTATAAACATTTAACAAATTCATTCAACATTAAATGTCAAAAGCTACAAATCGGTAGAATACCAGATACAAAATATATCCATGTTGATTATATTTAAGAAAAGTTAGATTTAGAGAAACTTAAATCCTCTCGAATACTTTGACAGATCAGTACCTTCATACCTCATACCATACATACAATTGAATCTAGTGTTGTCGAGCCAGCAATTTTTTCAGTGCTTCTACCGAAATGAAACCACATTTACCGAATTTCTTGAAATATTTCAGATATTTACAGATTTTTTACCAAAAAAGGGCTGGAATGAAATGAAAAGCTAAAAAAGCGACTTATATGTTATTCGGTGCTGATTTTGAGCGGATATTCTCTGCTATAATTCTTTTAACGGATTTTGGCGGTTCAAAGTAAAACTACAGGAATTGCTTTCATACATCCATCTCTCTCATACATTCACATGCTACCTACTCCTGTGTCAACGTTTGTTCGGCAAGCTCGTGCTAAATTTATCAGAGTGTTTCCAGGAAGAGAATGAAAACAGCAGTCCCCTGTTATCCACTTCATGCGTACTGGAGAGAGTCGCAGATGCGCTGAAAATTAGTCTGCGCCCATGGTACGGAGACTCGATCTGTTTACTTATTTCATATGGCGTTGATGACGTAACCGCCAAGAAAGGTGATTATAACTAAGATGTAACACAATTGATAAACAAAATACAATAATATAATATAATATGATGCGCTGAAGATTAGTCTGCGCCCATGGTACGGAGACTCGATCTGTTTACTTATTTCATATGGCGTTGATGATGTAACCGCCAACTAAAACTATATTAATGAAAACGAAACAAAGAAATAGATTTCCAAATAACATTGGTATAACCCCAAAGAAGATCGTAACGTTATGTTACTTCAATAGAAGAATTGATGCAAAATTCAATCGCGTCCAAATTTCATCTAAATATTTTTTTCGGTTTAGTTCTCTTCTAGTTTTTGGAATTAGAAAAAGACATTTCTAAAGTTTACTTTTTAGCTGCCAACTGGTTAGTTAGACCTTCTAATCGATTTTACCCTGGTGGTAAAATTAAAAATATTGCAACGGATTTTGAACCAGATCATTACATTAAAATTATTATTTTTCTTGGTGTCTGTTATAGTTACTTGAACAATCATAAATAGTCGTTAAATTCTATTTTTGCAAAAGAATTACAAAATTAACTGTTGGGATGTTTTTAAGTTTAATTTGATTTTATATTCATTAAAAACCTGTGTATGCTTATGTTCTGTGTGCAATAATTATATACCATTTTTCCAATTTGTTTTTATGTTTAAAGGAAACATGTGCACCTGTGTTGTGTGTCCGGGCGTAATATAAAAATATACTTTTCTTTTATAGACGCGCTGAGTGACTCTAAGACCCTTGATCAGTTTTTGATCTTGTGTCGACCCTGATTATTCTTCCTATCGATTTTGCCCTTGAATCTACTGAATTGCAGTGACACTAACTTCCGATTTCGTGTTTTTCGGTTCGACAACACTGATTGAACCTCATCTCGGCCCCTAGAGCATGTTTAACATATATTAATAATTTAGATATTCTTTGTACTTGTACTGAGTAAATGAATAGTTATTATTATTATAAAGTATGTGAAATATTTTTTCATAATCTCTTGTCTGATTTTGTAAATTATCTTTCGACAGGAGCTAAGCATATTTTATTACTGCAACTAAAAACACTTTCGTACCACTTTGACAATTCCAAGATACGTTCGGTTTCGGTTCGATCGACTTCCAAAAAAGATGAGACTATTGACTTGATGAAACTTCAAAAAGATCGAATTACGGTCTCAAGTAGCAGCGTGCTCCTAGATGTGAAATGTCAGAAAATTGAGTGCTATGCAACATGCAGTTCGGTTCTAGACAATACTGTTTTTCATTTGCCTCGATAGAAACAATAAGCAATATCGATAAGCTAATTAATTAGCTATTCATTGTTATTCCAAATCTCATAAGCCCACATGTTAGCTTGTATAAAACATAGTAATTCTAGATTAATTTAAACATTCTTCATCTGTCAAGAAAATGGCCAAGATTCAATTATTTAGTTTAGTATTTAATATTCTCATCCCAGCAAGCGTTTTGCAAGGTAAATATGTGTTATTTTGTTTTGAAACATATATTGCACCTATGCTGCATTATCCTCAACTAGTTACTTGAAAGGTATTGTTTACCAAAAATATGAAAATTATTTAAAACTATGTCTAAAAAACTTGTAAGTCTTGTGACACTTGCTTGACAATTGAGCATCATTTACAATACACTTCTATAAATTATATTTCAAATTTATTATTAAAAAATATTATTATATAAATAAAAGGTATCAAAGGCCAATTAAGATTTTATTCTTCAGTAAAGATATAGCGCGTATTTAAAACATACATGGTTTTTAAAAGTTTTGCGACAAAAACCGCAGATATACCTATACCTGCCTTCTTCCATTCCACCTTCAGAAAAACTTCAATTGTCATTCTAGGAGGACTCCAATTACTTTGCTAATTTTTCCCATTGTTGGTGTTGAGGGACGAAAAACAAAACTCACCAACAATGGGTATACTACGGCTTGGAAAAAACACAATCCCGTTTTTCGGTAGCTTAAAGTAGGGTGGTCTACCCAAACGAGCTATACAGGGTTATCCAAATTAAGTGTCCACCATTGGTAACTTTGTTATTAGTAAAAATACAAAGTTGTTTAAATTAGCAAACTAGTAGCATTTTTAACGCTGGTAAAAATGAGAAATAAAAAAAACAATTGAGAGTCGTTATTTTGATTTTTTTCAGTAAAATAACATTTTTTTAAATGGAAACCCCTGTATATTATATTTTTTTCTGTTAAAGCATCAAATTTTAAACAAAAAAGTTCATAATGACTTTTCCGCTAAAGTCAAAAATAAAGTCAAAATAACGATAAATATTTTTAATTATTTGCAGTATTATAATATTAAGACGGCTATGAAAACAACATGGCGTTCGCGATTTGACAGCATTAAGATAAGCGACAAATTGTTAAACTGGACATACTCGCAACTAGAAGGCTTTGGAAAACAATGATAAAATCAAATAATGTCAAACATTAGTGTAAATACTTGTTTATAAGCTTTATTGTGTCATTAATTTAAAGAAAAATGTTCTCCCATGAAGAAAAGTGTGATATGTTAGAATGCTATTTAGTGTGCAGAAAATCCTCCTTGAGAGCAAGAGAATACTACAGTGAATTATATCCCGCTCGCATTCAACCGTATGAACGATATTTTCTGAGACTTTATCGAAAATTTAGGGGCAACGAAAATGTTTTTGCTAAAACAAGGGCAAAAAAAGAATTCATAATAAGCGAGGCCACGGAAATTGCAGTTTTTGGATATTTTGAAGCTTATCGTGAGAATTCAATAGCAGATATTCTCAAGGACTCTAATTTCAGTTATGGTACTGTTCAAAGGATTTTAAAAAAATACAAATTTATTCCGTATAAGTACCGACCAGTTCAAACGCCTTTGGCAGGGGATCCAGAGAGAAGACTTGTTTTTTGCCATTGGTATCTTAGCTTCTGTCGCCAAAATGTAAATAACTTTCGTTACCTTTTATGGACAGATGAATCAAATTTTTCAAATTCTGGAATGTTTAATAGAAAAAACCACCATTATTGGTCAAGAGAAAATCTTTTGTTAGTACATCCAAGAGGCCCACAAGTCCGTTTCAGTTTCAACGTTTGGTGCGGTATAATTGGTTCAAAAATTGTTGGCCCGTTCTTTTATGAGGGAACCCTAACTGGTGAAAGATATGTGGAATTTATGTCAGAAATTCTGACTAATTTCTTAGACGAATTGGATCTTATAAGTAGACATCATCTGCATTTTCAGCAAGATGGCGCACCTGCCCACAACTCCAGAGGTACTTATCATTTTCTAAGTACTACTTTTAATGATCAGTGGATAGGAACAAATGGCCCAATCCAGTGGCCTCCCAGATCACCAGATCTAAACCCACTTGATTACTTCTTGTGGGGTTACTTAAAGAACCAAATTTACAAGCGAAGGTACGATAACCTTGACGCGTTAAAGACTGCAGTTAGGGAAAAGATAACCCAGATAGATGGTAGGACCTTACTTAAGACAGTTCGAGCAGTTGAAAAACGTGCCCAAAAATGTATTGAAGAACAAGGTGGTGTTTTCGAGCATCTTCTTTAAAAAAAATTGTTATTGTATTTTGTAAGATTATAAGTTGATGTTGAAAATAAAGTTTGTCGATACAATTTAATTGTTTCAGATTGGAGGCCATAACTTCAACAATTTGTAACCTAGGAGAAAAGTTATTGTAAGCTTTTTTGTTTAAAATTTGATGCTTTAACAGAAAAAAATATAATATACAGGGGTTTCCATTTAAAAAAATGTTATTTTACTGAAAAAAATCAAAATTACGACTCTCAATTGTTTTTTTTTATTTATCATTTTTACCAGCGTTAAAAATGCTACTAGTTTGCTAATTCAAACAACTTTGTATTTTCACTAATAACAAAGTTACTAATGGTGGACACTTAATTTGGATAACCCTGTATATGCTAAATCAGGATATCAGGATATCTAGTCTCTCCTAGTCACTGCATAAGTTTATCCCATGTTTGAGAATCAACCAGTGGGTATGATGATAAGAGCTTAAATATATGGCAAATAACTGTTACACATAGTGTACCAAATCCACAACTTGCTGTAATATACCGGGCATTTCAAACTCTCACCATTGAAATCTCGAAACGGTAAGTGGTAAGAATTCGCTTGATGCGTATTTAGGTAACTAATAAAATGCTCCTTAGAAAGTTTCAAAATTCAAAGTACTTCCGGAAAGAGATGGAAAAAACGAATTTTCCTAGAATCGTTATAATTTTGTATCAGCTTCTGCCCCTTTTTCCCCTTCATGGGATGGCGTAATTAGAATTTCAATATGACGTTTCGTCTCTTGTCCTCCAGCATCAACTTTATCTTTTCTTATGGCCCAAGTTGGATTTTGATTTTTTATTTAAAAAAAACAGTATTTTCTAGGTAGGCCTTGAAATTATCAGATAGTTATTTGTTTCGTATGCCAGATTTATCTCAAAATCATGTTTCATATTTCCTGTCTTTACTTGAGATGGGATTTTAAAGAAAATTACATGTTGTCATTGTCACTTTGTTTTTTCATATACACATTATATTTTAATTTTGTACATTTAACTGGAGTTTTCAGTCTTAAATTCAGTGATATATTTCGTTAGTTGATCATGAATTTGTTGTTGGAACGAAAATTATAAGGAAATAAAATAGGTATGGTGAAGCCTGAACGCGAAATGAAAAATATACTGATGGTAATAATAATAATCATGAATAAGCAGAGGTAAATGATAGTATATTAGATGCTCAAAAATCCTGTCCGTTATCTTATAGAAAAGACCTGACTTTCCTCTGTACATCGTTCACTGCTCGGTTTATTTCCCTTCTTCTCAGTCTTCCAAACTTCTGTTACGATGTTCAATTTTAGGTCTGATCTAGTATACGAAACAACAAAAATGATCATTTCATGGCCTAGTAAATTTTGTTTTTCTGCAATAACTAAGGTTTGACAATAACGATGTATGTATACTTTTTCGGAATCAGAATTATAAGATCTATTCACCTGCCATGCGATCTTTCGTGGTAAAGGCGAAAAAGTGGCAGGGTTAATGTGCTACTTATTTTGAAATCCCACTACAAATAAAGTCAGGAGAAAACGAATACGATTTTGGGTAAATTCGTTTTTTTCCTTCTCCCTCCGGAATTACTTTTTCTAAGCAACGTTTTTTCAGTTACCTAAATATATAGTAAGGACTACCCAGCTTGGGAGCATGGTATCTCGAAAACCAGTCGTAAAAAAACTTTGCGCCCATAGACTGCGACATATTTTCTAAGAGGACAGTTAATTTTTGATTTCATGATATATTTATTTGATTGATTAAGGTATAGTTTTTGTAATGTTTGTTTGTTTAAGATGTCTTTCCAGAAGAAGAAGCTAAATTTAATCCACTGGATCGATTTAGATTCGAGAATGTGGACTTCAGTTTAGCAGATGCAGTGGAATCGGATGTCATTTTCAAATACTACAGTGACGCATATCAAATAAATCCTAGAATTTTAACGATAGGGTCGGTTAGTGGACATATGGATAAAGAGGCAAAAACGGTATATATGATTCATGGGTGAGTATGAAGGCGGAAACACACGCCTAGAGGCGTAGGAAGTAAAAAGTAATGTTTTCAATTTAAACAAAAATCATAAGTTTCTATTTGTTTGCTCTTCGCTAGGCCTATGCCGTACTGATGATTGCTGAAAAGCATGAAACAACGTTGTATATGGCTGGTTATGTCCACAGAGACGAAAAACATATCATATACAACCATTATTCTGTCCATTAATCTCTTTTATTTTCTTACGTGAGTTTGTGAGTACAATCATTTTGTAGTTTTACCTGTAAAGTTTGAGGGACACTATGAAAAGTTGATTCCATCTTGTATTGCAGTATGGTTTTCAACAATTGGCGATATCCCGGCTTAAATGGTCTGTGGATTCAGTTTCAGCAACCCAATTGTACCCAGCATGGTTAAAAAATAATACTCGTAAAGCATGTTCTCAGCACATACTGCTCATATCCTTTTAAAGCATATTCTCTTGATGAACACTGGGAGAATATGCGAATTAAGAATACTCGGAACGAACATGTTCTTAGCATGTTCACATAAGGGATATCGATTTACTCACATTCGGAGAATATTCATTTTTAGGACACGCCAATAGAAATTCTTTTTGCCACGTGATAGTAACATTCCACCACATAATAAAAAGGAATATTCCTGGCACGTGTTGACCGCATTCCATCAGAATCCGTGTACCCGAGAGACCAATGGCAAGCCGACCCGCTTACCGGCTTCCATTTTGTTTTATTCCATGTCTGTAGGTATGTAACATAGCGTGCATCGTGTGTGTCTCAAGTGGTACATTATTTAAGAGTGTTTTTGTGGAAAATGGTCAGCTTCGTGCTAATTATTCACGTCAATTCATCTGACTAATGGACATTATTGTGTCAATCAAGTAAGGTAGGTAGGTTAGGCAGCAGCGGTGGCCGCAGTAGTAGACTCTTCGGTCTCCTGATCAGCCGCCGTGCGCTGTGCGGGTTCGAGTCCCGTCCCAGGAGAAATGTTTCTCTTGGCCATGGATGTTGTGATTGTCCATAGGTGGTAGATGGTCTCTGACTGTCGAACGCGGAGGTACCACCCGGCGGTTCTCGTAGGCGGAGCCAGAATGTGTGCATGTTGCATGCACACGTGTTCCCTCGCCAGAGTCCGTGTGGCGTCCCCCCTTTCCCATGTATCCCCCATAGCCCCACGGTACCCAATGGGTGCTTAGGCCTTAGGCCTTCGTGGAAGTTGGAGTATAAAAAAAAAAAAAAAAGGTGTCTACAAGATCATAATCTCCAAAAAGATCTCCTAACAAGAAGTTTAGTTTTTAGTGAGAAGAAATTGGCATATGCAGCTGCTCATGATGGAGAGAAGCAGAAAATATATGAATAGAACAAGAAAAGCAAGAATAGGCGTTTAGAATACGACAGAAGGAGACCTTGAATTTACATGAATACATAGATATGATATACACATTTTATTATAAATACACACACACACACACACGCGCACACACACAAACATTAATCAGTGACTTAACTCATCTGTACTCATTTATAATGATATTCTCTATCGAGCAAGTAACACCTTTGCAGTGGGTTTTCCAGCTACCTTTTGAATTTATAGTTATACACAAGATGACACCGATCCATGGTTCCGACCATTGAAAAGAGAGCTTTTCATACAGAGACAATTCAACATAGTCTACATAAACTGGGTAAAAGCTGGGAATAAATCATATGACGTGTCCAGTGCTAATATCAATCCGGTAGGAAAGTTTATTGCAGACTTCATTGTCGCTTCTGAAGTTCCACCAGGCCTCATCCATATTATTGGTAAATATCCGATTTGAAAAATTAATATAAGGTGTTTTCAAAGTTGGAACTGTCCTTTATAAGGCGTATAGTTTTTGTAAAAATAAGCGAACGATGCTTGTTATACCTCAACCAAAGCATTAAGTATTATTAGGTTCAGAAAAAAACCTGCAATACCAAATCCGGCCCCCTACTCCTGGTAAAGGATGAAATGATACGAAGTGCGAGAGCATCCAACCCAGATGCTGGGCGCCGTGTAAGTAAACCAAACTGTTTATTTAGAAATCGAATTAAAAAAATGGCATCGAATAGGTTGACTTCCACGCAACGCTGTCATCAAATCGTCAAATTATTAGGTTCAGAAAAATCCTGCAATACCAAATCTGGCCCTACCTCTGGTAAAGGATTAAGTGGAAAGATATAGCCTTTGTCAGCATCTAACCGAAGCGCTGGATGGCATGTAGGTAAACCGAGCTGTTTATTTAAAAATCAACTTCAAAAAATCGCATCGAGTAGGATGAATCTGCACTTCCCATAAAAGGCTATCATCAAATTATTAGGCTTAGGTAAAGGATTAGGTGAACACATACGACGTGATGCTATTGATGAAAAACCGGGATGAAAAACCGGTTATAGTTTGACCGGTTATTATATCAATTACTTTAACCGGCACGGTTAACCGAACCAAAAACAGGTTATATGATTAACCGGAAAATAACATTTATTTTTGTACACAGCATTTATGCACAAACTTACGATTTACTTACAACTACCTTGACAAATTAATCCAAGTTATAGAACATCCATTAGACTATCCCAAAGCGGCTATGCTGGTATTGGTATAGTTTCTTTTTAATACCCGCATATGGGGGGGGCGTTGGAGAAGTGCTCAAGGATAACAAAAACAACATAGCAGTAATATTCAATACGCCCATATTTACTGAGATTTGTGTTGATAGAAAAACAAACACATTTCTTCCGGTTGTTGAATTTTTTTAACCGAAAGCAAATTAACAGTATATTTAGGAATAACCGGTTGAAACCTGTCAATTAATTTAGAAAAACCGGTTATTCAATTAATTGTTGCCCATCTGTAGCCACAATCAGGCAGTCAGTAGCGGCAGCACGATACTTTAGGCGACATGTATCAGAGAGATCATGGAACGAGCGGCCAGAGACACGTATTCCTCTTATCATACTAAGTCTTGAGTACATATTATGTATGTCTGATGCGTCGATTTGTCTGATGGGTGTGCAGACTTTATGGATTTTGGTCGTATGAAGAAATAATTTTGTTTTTGAATCCAACGGGGACAATTTTAACCGCTCCGTACGCTTGAAATTGTTACTAGCATAATGCCAAACATACTGCGCTTGGATCTTCATACTCCAATCGCGGAAAAAATATTATTTACCCACATTCGGCAGCAGCGGTGCCCGCAGTAGCAGACTCTTCGGTCTCCTGATCAGTCGCCGTGCGCTGTGCGGGTTCGAATCCCGTCCCAAGAGAAATTTTCCTCAGTTATGTTCGTACTTCAAGTGAACCGAGGAAATTTTCTCAAGAGCTACACCTATAAGACGCATTGTGCATTGCGAGATCATAACGGAGCTTGAGATAGGTTTAACCAGAGCTCTTGATATGCATGATCACAGAAATACACAAAAAAATCGAGAATTTGTCTCGACACACAGGAAAAGTTGCGGCTAAGGAATCAGCCAGGGACCCGCTATTTGAACGTGAACAATAATTTAAAACAAAAAATCAAGGACCGAATACAGAAAAAAAGAAGAAAGCATATTTTTTGAAAGTACTGCAAGATGAAAGTAATCATAACAAATTTCAAACAAATTGCGCAATAACATTACCACTTTTTCTCTTCGACACGGTGGCATAATTAGAATTTCGATCTGATGTTTCAGCTCTGTTTTTAAAATTACGAGTATACAGGTTTTGATGTTTTCATGATTACCATTAAATAATATAAATAGGTTACGTTATGTTGTTCCTCATTTGATGAGCTTAAACCAACTGCCAAAAAATGTTTATAATAATAACTATATGACATGCTGTAATATCTGAAATCAGAATTAAAAGCTATTCGCCTATGCAAAAAGCCATATATAAGAAAAAAAAGAAGTTGAGACGGGAGATAAGATTCGAAAAATCATATTAATGTTGTATTTATGCCACCTTGCAGCGATCAAAAAGTGGCAATGTCAATGTGCAGTTCATTTTGAAATTCTATCTAAATAAATTCAAAAAAAAATAGAAACGATTTTAGGAAAATTCGTTCTCCTTTTTCATATATCTCTGGAGATACTGGAAGCGTCAAAACGTTTTAAATGCATTTTCTGTAATGTAACATATATCGTAAATAAGCAGCTTTCCTACCATTCGACCGAGTCGTATCTCTTACCGTTTCGGAGAACACATTGGTGGAAATATGACAAATTTGTTTCCTAAATCACTCTAGAATAAAGTAGGTACATTACCAAATTTCAAGTAATTGCAGAAAAACAAAGAATAAATATCAACAAAGAGAAATCATTTCCGGAATTGTATAATAATATGCTATATTCCCGGCTATATCAAAACTTCTCCCTTTGAAGTGGCATATTAGAATATACGTTACTAAAAGATGTACGGTGTTCCATTGAAAAAAGTCGTTTTTGTTGTCATGTCTGTATAAATCACTCTGTAGGAAGCGGTATATACCAAGTAGGAAGAGTATTAGTCCATAATTTTTATAAATAAGATTTTTCATTACGTTTTATAGTAAATTGTCCAATTAGATACCTACTAGAAACTCACGGTGTATGTCTAATTTGTTACAGCAGTTACGTCGCTGGATAGATTGAGCATTTTTGTTTCGATGTTAATCACTACAAAGTCCTTAACTTTTGGGTACTATTTCATATTTATTCTTATGCACTTTTTGGCAAAAAATTAATTGTTGCACCAAACTGGACATACTGGACATTTTGTACGTGTTTTCATAGATTTTCCAATTCTTCTATAGACTTATAATTTTGAAGTTACCCAGAACTTTTTAGTTCGTGGTGAGGGGCCGTTGTATTCATTCTAAAGAATATATATACAGGGTGGCGCATCGAAAACGAAACAGACCCATTTACTGGCAGCTCAGTGTTTTTTTTGGAAAAACGCTCAGATCCGTCGATTTTGTTTTCGAGGGGGACTCAAGTTGGGCAAAAAATCACGTTAGCACGTGCAGCCCCCTAAGCGGGGCTGACACCACCCCCAAAATCTTAAATGGAAAGGGGGATCGAGTGATACCTTATTTGAAAGGTCTTTGAATTCCCTTTATAATGATATAAAATTAAGGTACTTCAGTTCAGTAGTTTTGAAGATTTATTGATTTAAAGCTTAAATAAAACTAATACATCATCATTAGTGGAGATCAATACATTTGGCAGCAAAGTAATTTAAAAATGAAGAATGAACTGACCCGTTAGGCAAGTAAATGTTGAAAATGGCCACCATGATTCTTCATGCAATAATAAAGATTTTGCTCAAAACGTTGCCGCACATTTTGCAATATTTGAGGAGTAATTTGAAGGCACTCATTCACAATTCTTTGTCGCAGGTCTTCTAATGATGTTGGCTGAGTAGCATAGATTTTGCTTTTTAAATGACTCCACATAAAGAAATCCAAAGGTGATAAATCTGGCGATCTTGGGAGCCATTCAATGGCACCTCTTCTACCAATCCATCGATCTGGAAACGTCTGATCTAAATATTGTCGAACACGTAATGCGTAATGTGGTGGGGCACCATCCTGTTGGAACATCAACCTATTCGCAATGTACCGCCGATCATTCTGATTTTCAATTATGGCTGTTAATGCAGGATCTATGGCGTCTTCCAGTAATTCCAAATACATTTCACCGGTCAAACTTCCAGGTAAGAAAAAAAGACCAACTAAATGATCGCCAAAAATACCAGCCCAAACATTTAATTTTTGTGGCTGCTGTGTATGAACCTCATGATAAATTCTGGGATTAGAATCGGACCAATATCGGCAGTTATGATGATTTACTACGCGATTTAAGAAAAAGGAACATTCGTCGACTATTTTCATCAACAAAATGATAAACAAACCATGGGCGTAGTGAAGAAAAGCATTTACTTATTAAGTAAATTCTTTTAGTCAAATTTCTTCTGAAAGTAGTTCAAACTAATCTGATGTACCTATTAAAGTCTACTTTAAGCTTTAAATCAATAAATCTTCAAAACTGCTGAACTGAAGCTTATGTATTTTACATCAAATGAAGGGGATTGAAAGACCTTCAAAATAAGGTATCACTCGACCCTCCTTTCCATTTAAGATTTTAGGGTTGGTGTTACCCCCGCCCAGGGGGCTGCACGTGTTAACGTGATTTTTGACAAACGTGTGTCCCCCTCGAAAACAAAATCGACGGGTCTGAGCATTTTTCCAAAAAAAACTGAGCTGCCAGTAAATGCGTCGTTTTCGATGCGCCACCCTGTATATACAATCCTTCTGTACAATTTCTGTTACAGCTCCACATTTGGCTTGCTTGAATGTTTCAAAAAAGTAATCGTAGTAGTTTTCCATGTCCATATGAATCGTCAAATCGTAGTGGAAGACTATACAGGGTGACTTCGAAGTTGAGTCATTTATTTTAACAGTGAGTAGATCTGATCAAAAGAAATGTTTTTTCCTTTACCATTTTTCTGGTAAAATTAAAGTAACAAAGTTATAGCCCTTTGGAAGTTTGAGTACAGTTGTATACAGTCAGTGTCAGTCGGTAACGCGTGAGTGAATAGTGGTGTTTGTTGCGTGGCTCAAACGAAATCAAAAATGGCACATGTTTACGAAAATGCTGAACTTGTGGACATGATTCTTATTTACGCGGCATCACGGATTTATGCGGATCGGTTTCCCTATCGAGTGCAACCAACCCCTCGTGCCTTTGTTAATGTAGTACAAAGGGCTCGTGAATCAGGTGATTTAAGACCTCACAGGGGAGGCCATGCCGGTGCTCCAAGACCGCACGATCAAATACAGGTCCCCACTGAAATACTTGTCGGGAGGGTACTTTATAAAACAAGGTAACATTTTTTTTAATTTTTTTTTATTTTTACACACATATTTTGGTTTATCTTCCTTCTACAATCATTATCTGAAAATTAATGACTCAACTTCAAAGTCACCCTGTATAAATTAAAAGCAAATAGAAAGAAAAATATCAAGTATAGTTATGAAGATATGATTTGTGGAACTTCCGCCAAAAATTTTTTTAAGGTGCAACCCCCCTTCCAGTTTGAGCTGGGTACGCCCTTGTCTTGAGACGTTTTTTCACGGAAACCTGTTACATGATTGTGTGTGGATGTGAATTTTATATGAAATTGAGAGATTGTCTACATACCCTAGAACACTTTGATTAACTGCTTCTAGGTCACTCTCTGGGAGCACATTTAGCAGGTTTCGTGGGTAAATACGTCTTCGCAATGACTGGTAAAAAAATCGACAGAATCAGCGGTCTAGACCCTGCTGGACCCAAGTTTGATTACCCTGTAGCCCCTTCACAGAACAGACTATGTGATACTGACGCTAAATTTGTGGACATCATCCATACGGACATGCAGGGCTATGGGTACACTCCACCTTTGGGGCATATTGACTTTTATCCTAACAATGGAACGGATCAACCTGGATGTCCAAAGCAACATTTCAAAGGTAAATTCCGCCAAACTATACATAACTCAAATCCATCCACGAGGAACCTAAAGCCAAGCATGCACGCTAAGACTCTGTCTCATAATCATAATGAACATGCTTGCCCTGTGAGGTACCAGAGCTGATAACTGAAGGGTCATGTCATACTTTTCAATAGTAATTCGTAAAAGTTAATTAAAAGAAGTCGCTTTAATAAAAACCGTAATAACTGATATGTAAAACAATACCTGATGGGTTTGCCTGAATAGTTATGTGCGAATGTGCGCGATTTTTTTGCATTTATTTATTACATTTGACCATATTAATGAAAGAATTGGAAATAGATGAACCAAAAAATTCCCCATCTTGGATACCCCCAACCCTAAGCCCTTTGCAGCGTATTTTATAGTCTGTTTACTTGCGCCGTCAAAATCTGGCCGCAAAGGTCACATGATTCAAAATGTTACCGGACGATAACCCGGTGGAATTCAATCATTTTTTTTCAAATACGTCACAAGAAATTGAACGCGAACTTTGTGATTCGGGTCCATACATCCTAAATCCGTCACACGGATATTATGGTCATATTCAATACTTGAAAACTTATGATTTTGAGGTTATCAAATGTTTAAATTAAACTAAACATGCTGCTTTCGTCCGTTCAATCAGACAACTAACCATGGACAGCTGTTTCGTGCCTTTTCGTTACTCATCAGCATGGTCTAGGCTTAGTGTTTCTCAAAAGTGTGAGATCTATCAAACCTTCACCTACAAGACCCCAAAAAATATTTTTAGCTTGGTTAATTTTAAAGAATTGTTATTTATTTACTAATAATGCGCTTTTGGTCATGCGTTCGGAATATTCCGTATGCTACCATGAAAGAGAACACGAGCACGCAGTGATACACGCAACGGACGGTGGCCTGAGTGCAACTCTGCCTGCCCTGCCCCTGCCCCGCGCATTATTCCGCCAGGCGACGGCTTGAAATTTAATGGCGAATTGACCAATAAGAGGCGTTGTCCCCACCTGTTACCGAGAGATCACGCGCTAACTGTTATTATTTACATCTCATCTTGAATTTGGATTCAGTTTAGAGTTTATTATAAAATTGACCGTAAGCTTATTATTTTTTATTTCAGTCCGTTGCCATCACGCTAGAGCGTCCTTCTTATTTGTCGAGTCCCTTACAAACCGAGTGAAAGCCGTAGAAGCAAAATATATAGAGGGACCCTATTTCAAAATTACCATAAAACGCAAAAAGAAACCAAAAAAGGTTACTTTTGGATATTATGCGAGCAGAAAAGCCAGAGGAGTGTATTATCTCAAAACTAATGGAGCACAACCTTTCTTGACAAAATGTTGGAAAGATTTGATTGAATGGTGATATTCTGTATTCCGTTATATTAAATTGTACAGTTTTGTGATTTTTGTTTTATTTGTAGCCTGGTGTAAAATTTTGAGTATGTCCCTCTTCCAATTTTATTTACTTATTTATTAGTGCCGAGTACGCTTGCGTGCTTACACAGGTCAAAGTGGAAGTTAAAGTACAAAAGTGTAGTCGCAACAAAAATTATTGGAAAGAACAACATTAACATTAACATGTTGTTATTTCCATGTCGTAGCCATATCGTGTAATTGACCATTTTATGAAATGCTCGATCATTTCAAGAGATGGTGACCACTTCATGAAATGGCCAATTGAATTTGACCGTATCGTAATTGTCAATGTTTAACGATTTGGTCATACACAGTTCATCTTATTGTAAAAAAGGATGTCTATAGAATATTAAATAAAAATCCAGAATATGTTACGAACTTGTTTATTGCTCTTTAAATATGACAACCATATTGATTAAAAGTAGTAACCTTAGGAAATTAAAGTAAAATAATTACAGGGTGGCGCATCGAAAACAGACGCATTTACTGGCAGCTCAGTTTTTTTTTGGGGAAAACGCTTTCGAAGAGGACACAAGTTTGGCAAAAATCACGTTAACACGTGCAGCCCCCTAGACGGGGGTGACACAACCCTAAAATCTTAAATGGAAAGGGGGGTCGAGTGATACCTTATTTTAGGTCTTTCAATTCCCTTTATAATCATGTAAAATACATGAGCTTCAGTTCAGTAGTTTTGAAGATTTATTTATTTAAAGCTTAAAGTAGACTTTAATAGGTACATCAGATTAGTTTATACTACTTTCAGAAGAAATTTGAATAAAAGAATTTACTTAATAAGTAAATGCTTTTCTTCACTACGCTCATGGTTTGTTTATCATTTTGTTGCTGAAAATAGCTATTGGAGCGTTTTTTTGTGGAAAAAGTTATTTCTTGAAGAAAGATAAGGAAATATCTCGTACTTATTTTAAATAGGAATTTAGTACACAGTTTGCGATTGATTTGACCACACTTTGTTGCTAAAATAACTTGTAACGCTTTATTACATAAATTAACCATGGTATATTCCACAGCAGAAAGAGTTGAAATTATCGAAATATTTTTCGGAAATAATCAGTGCGCTACTAGAACAGCAGAAATATTTAAAGAGCGACATGAGAACAGTAACGTGCATCGAAAATATGTTCTAGAACTTGTAGTTAAATTTCGGGAAACTGGGTCAGTCGCCAATAAAAAACGCAACATTGAAAATCCCATAAGGAACGAAGCAATAGAAGTGGAGGTTTTACGGCAAGTATAAACATAAGTAGATCTTACGTTAAGTACCCGCAAATTGGAGACTGTGTGTGGTGTTAGTCGACGTACTGTCCAACGGATTCTAAAGGCCCATAGTTTTCATCCGTATGAAATTCACCTGGTACAAGAACTTAATGAAGGCGATTTTGATCGGCGATTACAATTTTGTGAAGATATGAGTGAACGAATTATAAACGATGAACATTTTCTATTCAACACTTGCTTTTCCGACGAATGTTCCTTTTTCTTAAATGGCGTAGTAAATCGTCATAACTGCGGATATTGGTCCAATTCTAATCCCAGAATTTATCATGAGGTTCATACACAGCAGCCACAAAAATTAAATGTTTGGGCTGGTATTTTTGGCGATCATTTAGTTGGTCCTTTTTTCTTACCTGGAAATTTGACTGGAGAAATGTATTTGGAATTACTGGAAGACGCTATAGATCCTGCGTTAACAGCCATAATTAAAAATCAGAATGATCGGCGGTACATTGCGAATAGGTTGATGTTCCAACAGAATGGTGCCCGACCACATTACGCATTACGTGTTCGACCATATTTAGATCAGACGTTTCCAGATCGATGGATCGGTAGAAGAGGTGCCATTGAATGGCCCCCAAGATCGCCAGATTTATCACGTTTGGATTTCTTTATGTGGGGTCATTTAAAAAGCAAAATCTATGCTATTCAGCCAACATCATTCGAAGACCTGCGACAAAGAATTGTGAATAAGTCCCTTCAAATTACTCCTCAAACATTGCAAAATGTGCGGCAACGTTTTGAGAAAAATCTTTATTATTGCATGGAGAGTCATGGTGGCCATTTTCAACATTTACTTGCCTAACGGGCCAGTTCGTTCTTCATTTTTAAATTACTTTGCTGCCAAATGTATTGATCTCCACTAATGATGATGTATTAGTTTTATTTAAGCTTTAAATCAATAAATCTTCAAAACTACTGAACTGAAGTACATTAATTTTATATCACTATAAAGAGAATTGAAAGACCTTTAAAATAAGGTATCAGTCGACCCCCCTTTCCATTTAAGATTTTCGGTGTGGTATCACCCCCGCTTAGGGGGCTGCACGTGCTAACGTGATTTTTTGCCAAACTTGTGTCCCCCTCGAAAACAAAATCGACGGGTCTGAGCGTTTTTCAAAAAAAAACTGAGCTGCCAGTAAATGCGTCTGTTTCGTTTTCGATGCGCCACCCTGTATATTAAAGTATTCCTAAGTTGCACAACGTGTCACCAATAAAATTTTTGAACATATCAGATTTCTCAAATTAAGTTATTACACTGCGTGGTCATCCTATTCTGGCTTACTTGACGAATAGCCTTAAAATGAAATAAAAATTAGGATAAGCTTTACATACGTAGAATAATATTTAGACAAATACAATATTTTAGCTGGCAAACGGTTTTGACTTCCAATAAATGAATGATAATGTAATTTCGGAGTGAAGTTATAACAGGTGAAACAAGTTTCAAACTCCCACGGTTATTTAACATTCTGATCGGTACATGCGTCATCCGCATAGTACTCGAGAACTCGAGTACCTTTTTGCCGTAAAGTATTTCAATCTCACTTTCTTCCTCATTTGGTAACGCGTCTATCTTATCCTATGGTTTTCATTTCGATAATCTCCCATGTTTGCCTGGCCAATAAAACAACATATATTTGAAATTATTCTTTAATGTAGTAAATCATATATATACAGGGTGACTTCGAAGTTGAGTCATTTATTTTAACAGTGAGTAGATCTGATCAAAAGAAATGTTTTTTTCCTTTACCATTTTTCTGGTAAAATTAAAGTAACAAAGTTATAGCCCTTTGGAAGTTTGAGTACCGCCCTGCCTATTATATGCTCGTGTTTGGCGACAACGGATATAATCCGCCTGACCGGTTCATCGCATCGGAAACAAAAAAGCGAAAGAATTTGAAACGTTTATCAGGATGTTTTTCGTCAGTCGATAAATCCTGAGTGAATAGTAGTGTGTTGCGTGGCTCAAACGAAATCAAAAATGGCACATGTTTACGAAAATGCTGAACTTGTGGACATGATTCTTATTTACGGGGGGGCAGTCTTTACAAAATGCTCCCGGATGCATCACGGATTTATGCGAATCGGTTTCCCAATCGAGTGCAACCAACCCCTCGTGCCTTTGTTAATGTAGTGCAAAGGGCTCGTGAATCAGGTGACTTAAGACCTCACAGGTGAGGGCATGCTGCTCCAAGACCGCACGATCAAATACAGGTCCGCACTGAAATACTTGTCGGGAGGATACTTTATTAAACAAGGTAACATTTTTTTTTTATTTTTTATTTTATTTTTACACACATATTTTGGTTTATCTTCCTTCTACAATCATTATCTGAAAATTAATGACTCAACTTCAAAGTCACCCTGTATATATATATGGTCAAAATTATAATATAAAATATAATTTTGACCATTGTACCATCTATCCAGCTCTCACCATGTTACTCTACGTTTCCCTCATCCTATACGTAAACAACAATTAGCAACATCCTCATATACTACTCTCCTGATGATGATGGCAAAGTCCATTGAAAGCTAGAGAGAATTAAAAAAGTATAAAGAGTCCTCTTTGCTTAAATTTTGTCGAAGTACCCAACAAAAGGCGGAAGCTTTAATTTTTCACTTATATACATATATATATATATATATACAGGTATATATATATATATATATACTAAGTGACATATAAATCCGAACACCCAGTTTAAATGGTTTTATTTTAATAAAAGTTGGTGAATGTATACGTATTTATCTCTCTGTAAATAACAAGTGAAAAAATTTTCAGCCTTATCAGTTGGACATTCCGGTTTTTATACTGCTTTTTTTTAATTCACTAACGCTCTAAAAATGAATATTTCAGCCGCAGTAAAGAATCAACGTTGGCGGATTTTGGTTCTTGACATCCTTTACGATCGGTTACGATGTCTAGAGTACGGAGACCTGTACGATTTCGTCAACCTAGTGAGTTTGATAGGGGCCGTATAGTGGGACTTCGGGAAGCTGAACTTTCTTTTCGGGCAATTGCAGTTAGAGTGCAAAGAAGTGTAGACACTGTGGTTAGGTATTGTCAGGCATGGCTTCGAGAAGGCCGTACGCAAACAGCAAGGGGCACTGGACGCCGCCGTAGAACAACAGACCGTGAAGATCGCCGCCTAAGATTATTGGCCTTAAGGGACCGTTTCTCCACTACCAGGTCCATTGCAAATGAATGGTTTGCAGAACACGGAAGACCTATTGGCATGCGAAGTGTTTACCGACGAATGAGAAGTTTTGGCTTGTTTTCATACCGGCCACACTGGGTCCTCCCTTTAACTCGAGAACACCGACGTAATCGCCTTGAGTGGTGCAGACAACGGTCACTCTGGGATCAGGAATGGAACAGTATTGTCTTTAGTGACGAGTCTCGATTTTGTTTAGGCATGCACGATAGTCGTGCCAGATTTAGAAGGCGACTTGGTGAAAGGAGGAATCCACAGTTTTTTGTTGAAAGACATGTTCATCACACTGTTGGAGTTGTGGTTTGGGGTGCTATAGCTTATGGTTCCAGGTCACCTTTAATCTTCATTAGAGGTAACATGAACGCGCAGCGTTATATCCACGAAGTTCTAGAACCCCATCTTTTACCCTATCTTGACACCCTGGCAGATCCAACTTTCCAACAAGATAATGCCCGTCCACATGTTGCAAGAGT